ACTACTGGCTGAAAGTTGTGAATGGGACTCGATCATCGCTGTATTGTGAGTAGACTGATATCACTGCGCAAATAGTGAAAGTTACATTAATAATAAACTGAACATTAAAGTAAAGTGTGAACACTTGAATACAAAATTTAACTTGTATTTACAAAAGCTGCTTGATGCTTCTTTTTGGCTGCTGGTGCCCTCGTCCGCAAGTACTATAATAACTGTTCACTGTCCATTGGGGAAATTCTACTTTGTTTTCTGTTGGAAATGATGTTCAGCAAGGTAGCATTATTTCGCCTTTACTTTTCAAGCAAAGCAAAACATCTGGCATACTGTGATGAATAATCATTTCATTACAAAACAGTTCTGTTACATTCCATTTCAAATCATTCTAATTCATTCTATTTCATTCTATTCATTTTCATTCCATTCCTTTCAATTCATTCCATTCCATTCTATTCTATTCTTATTATTATTATTATTAATCCTTTATTTCAGGCCAAAAAAGTCCCATATTAAATACATAACAAACACGAACATTAATAAATACAACGTCTAAGATTAGTCCAAAATTTGGATAAGAAAAAACTGTCAGAGTTGACACAAGTACGAATTAAAGCATTATCGCTCGTAAGTAGACGCTGACTGAAGTTATATAATGCCTTGCGCTGAAGAGATTCAAAGTTGAAAATATTTCTACTCACGCAATTACCACTGGCGCTGCTAGCCCGTTTAAGGCTAAAGACCAATCTTATAGCGTTATTATAAGCCACTCGCACAGTATTCACAATTTGTGTACGATAATCACACCAAACATTCAGACAATATATACTGTATAAATACGTTCTAAATAACAAACACTTAACGTACTCTGAACTTTTTATAAATTTTCGTAAAATAAAATTTGCCCTAGCATAAATACACCGCAATTGTCGCTTCATATCAGCTTCATCCTTGCCATCTGATGACACCATATAACCCAGGTACTTTTTCACTGAGACGAAAACCAGAGGTTTACCATACAAGTACACGCTTGGGACCCTTGTTTTGTCCCCACGTTTTTGGAAAAAATGACATGCATTCTGTCTTAGTATTGTGGAAAAGAATGTCAAACTCCTCACCATAACACTCGCAGATCTCAACGAGCTTTTTCAATGATTTGACAGAAGGTGAAACTAACAAAATATCGTCAGCATAAAAAAGATGATTCATTATTTTACCAGCTAAATGACATCCAACACCCGCTTGTTGCAGCCTAGTACTGAGATCATCAATATAAATTGAAAATAACGTCGGCGAAAGAATGCTTCCTTGTCGAACTCCATTGGTCACTCTAAAGGACGCAGATATTTCTGAAGCCCATCGGATACAAAAAGTTTGACCTCGATACCAATGCAATAGACAACGCACAATGAATACAGGCATTCCCCTATCAAGTAATTTTTTGAATAACTTCCAATGGTTTACCCTGTCAAACGCTTTTGTTGCGTCCATAAAACAAGCAAAAACGGGCGAGTTGTGACTTTTATAGAAGTCGACAATTTCCTTCACTACGAAGATACACATTTCTGTTGAATGCTTGCGTTTAAACCCAAACTGAAAATCACTAGTCTCGATAAATTTTTCAATTCGATTTAAGATGCACAACTCAAATAATTTCGATAAAACGGTTACTATAGCAACAGGTCTATAGTTATTCACTCTTGTGATATCTTTAGTCTTATCTTTAACAATTGGGACAATCATTGTATCCATAAAATAGTCTGGCAGTGTATATGTATAGAGTGTATTCATTTGATCTGTGGTATGAAGTGTATATGTATAGAGTGTATTCATTTGATCTGTGGTATGAACTGTATATGTATAGAGTGTATTCATTTGATCCTGTGGTATGAACTGTA